ACGGCGTCGGCGATGTTCAGCCCTTTCTACAAGAGCTTGCTTTGCTGGTTAGCTGCGCAGAGAAGTTTGACCAGCTGAGGCAACATCCGGCATAATGAGAACTGCGTGTGGATAGCTGACGAGGAAACTAGCCGTGTCGCCTTCGAACGATGTGCAGACCTCCTTCCCAACGACACTGACACAAATATCCCCGTGGGTATCAACAGAAGGCACAACGGTGATCGCGTAGTTGACACATATTCTTGAACTCGCTGTCATTGCCAAAGGTCAAACGCACAGAGCCCCATCGATCATTTGAAAGGGAATAGTGGGCCCTTAGCAGCATTTCGGCCTTTGGGAAGCTATCAGGTGGCAAAGCCCTGCGGGCCATCGCCGTTTGGGGTGTAGTGCGGAGTGCCTCCCCTGATTCAGGTGGCGCTTTTACAAATACAATGTTGGCGACATCTTCCGTCCACACCTGGATGGGTCTTGGGCAGGCAGTGGCATTGACAGCACGGGCAACTTGGTACACGACATCTTTGGCGATCGCTGGTCTAAGATGAGTTGGGTCTTGTACCTGAATGACCATGCCTTAGTTGTCAGTTGGGAACACGATACTGGCACACGTAGGCAGACAGATGCACACAGTTCTGGCGATGGGGAGAGGATATTACACGAGACATGAATTAGCATGACACATCATAGCGTCGTGCGCATGGGTTCACATGCTCTCATATGGCGCGGCATTTGGTTGAAAGGACAACTTTCAGGGGGGTGGCACTCGCTTCATCCTGAAGCGCTTCGGGATGGATTTGGTGCGGGAGGTGCCCGCGCGGCGCGGATCGGTGCTGTGCTTCTTCCACGGCGAGCATCCGTTGAGCCTGCTGCATGAGGGGGCACTGGTGACCGCAGGCACCAAGTACATTGTCCGCTCGGAAGTGCTGTACAAGCTTTGATGCAGAGCGCAGTTGATGGGATGCCCGTTGTTAGCAAGCGGCGCCCGGCTACTGTGAATTGGCTGGGGTTTTGCGAGTACGACAAGATGAAAGGATCCAGAAAGCAATTCGGGGTGTCTGAGCGAACAGGTGTCCAGAGCCCGGCACGTCACGCCGGAAGCTGATCGCCAACGGTGCGCAGCTTTGTGAAGTGTTGCAACCAGCATCGGTGCGAGAGAAACAAAGCAGACGGGAGCCGTTGGGGGCCTGAACTTGGGGGGAGAGGGGAGGGGGTCATCCCTGGAGCAAAGCCAAGAGCTCAAGATAAGAAGGCGCCGTCTCAGTGGTTAGCAAGGCCGTTGACTTGTGCCCCGTGATGTTTTGCAAAGGTTCCCCGAAGATGGAGTCTCCGAGTGTCTCCTGTGGTTGGATGTTGGCACTTTCCAGGACTCACCAGATCATTGGCATTATTTATTTTGAAGGGACTATTTTGTTGGACAACCGTTCATAATAAGCTCAGTAGCAAGCATAGTAACTCGAATATCAAACAACAAAACTCAAGCAACAAGGACCAACAAAAGGCACACAAAAGACATCCAAATCCCCGCACCTCTACTGTACTCCGTCCTTTGGGTGCGGCTGCCGACCAAGCAAGCCATTGGATTTCTCAGGTGTACCAAGCACATGGATGGACTTCTGCAGAAGCGGCAGCATGCTAGAAGCATGTGTAGATGTATGCACGGAAGCCTTCGATGAAGCTCCATAAAGATGGGTTCAATCGCGAGAACAGTGAGCCCACCGTTTCAAGCATTGAAACAGCAATGTGCGGCTCTATTCTGGGTACAAAGTGAGTTTGGGTTCTTGTTCCTCCACTTAATACTCATTCAGCATTTGTTTCAGAATCGTTCACATGCCCGTCCACATGTCAGGCTGCTTGGACCAGAAATGACGAGGTTTAGTGAAATGTGACATTGATGTGCGTGTTGCTCCGGCCACTTGAGGTGCTTTGCATGGCTCTCGGTCTCGGCCCTCGTCCTCGCCAGCGGTGGGTATGGGCGCTCGTTCAGGCTGGGCGTGCGGCATGAGGGGGGTCACTAGATATTCGCTACCATAAAGGGCCACGAATGGCGGCCCCTTGACGTCAGTCAAGAGGCATGCCTCCAACTTGGCAAAAGACGCATAGGAGTTGCTGAGCCAACATGGCTGCAGATGTTGTGCTGATCAAGGGCCCCCCAACCCGTGAATTTGCTTTGCAGTCATTGCTGTTTGTGAGACTGGATTTTGGGGGCCCACGAACCAACCCAAAGGCGCAAAAGCTGAAACAGAGCGGCCTTTCCTCTGAGCCCGGGCTGGGGGACGCGGTTCTCGTTCTCTCTGCCATGATTCGATTTGACTCCAGTTGGTTTTTTCACCTTGAAGCATTGAAGCACATAAACCAAATAATCACGCAATACGTTGCGCAGCCGTGCACATAGGAGAAACTGGGACTCTTCCCGGCACAGGGCGTCCTGCGCGGCCGGCCTCGTCCCCCACACTGCGGAGCGACGGACCGGGGACCAAAGAGAGCTGCCAGATGCGAAGCTACGCCCAGGCGCGAAATGTTTTTTGGCTTTGGCATTTGGGATTTTTGGGCTTTCTTTTTGTTTGGCTTGAAGATCTGATCAGCTTGGCACAGTGGACTTCCTGAACGTTGCAGGTGAGCCAAACACAAGACCATGGGCAATCGAAGTGGTTGCCTGGTGCACGACTTGCGATGTGTAAGGGTCTGAAGTAAGAGTTGCTTTGCCAAATGATTGAAGCTGATGGGCTGATGCCCCTCTCTGGGACAGAGTTTGTTTATGTTTGATATGGTGGGCATCATTGGCAAGGAACAAGGTACATGAGAAGAAGACCGACCAGTGCAGTCAAGCACTTCATGTTTGCTGAAGTTTGCCGCATAAGCAATGTACAGGTTTCCTGACATGGATGGGCCGTTAGATCGACGGGGCGACGGGGCTGCTACATATTAAGCAATCTGGCAGGGCAATGTGACTTTGTGGCAAAAGTCCTGGTCGCCCTCAACAAAATTGTTTTCGTTTGCGTCCAGTTGTTCCGATGTTCCCTTTGCTTCTTACATCCCAAGCTTCACCGCAATTTCCTCTTCATTTGGGACAGGCCCCATGGTCCCGTGGTGCCTCCGCAGGTGCTGCGGGCCTTCAGTGCCGGCCTGCTTCAGGCAGAGTGTTTCAGTCCTCATCGGGACGAGGCATGAGCGAAGCGTTTGCGACGCCTTCCGCCGCCTCCTGTCGAGCCGCAACCCAACTTGCCAAGGCAGCTAAAGCCTGGTTTGAGAAGAAATTCATTGGCTGGGAGCAATCATAATTGCAAATGTGAGCATGACAAGCTCCAGGCACAAGATGCCGCAACGCTCGTTCTCAATTCACTTCACCTACAACTCTCCAACAGTTGGTTGCAGAAGCAATCTGAGTCTTCGAACGGTTAAACTTTTTTGTTCCACCAAATGGAAGCTTTGGGCCCAAGAAAACGTGCATGCACAAGGCCGCAGGTCTTCCTCCAGCGCTCTCACTGAACTCCAAGCGTTGCTGCGTTGCTTGTGGAACCACCTAGGTCACTCTTGGGTTGTCGGCGCGGCTGTAGCTCTGAATTCGTCCGGCACCAGCACCGGCAACAGCTCAGATGCTCGAGAACTTGGATGGGCGCAGCTGACGCTTTTGTTCACATGTGCCACTTGAATTGCATTCTTGCTCCCGCCGGGGTGCCAACCAACTCGTGATTTTCTTGGGCAAAATCCACCCTGGTTGAGTTGGTTTTGGGGGTGGAAGGAATTATTCAGCGCTCCTACCAACATGATCGCGATGGCGTGCTCCTGCTCTTGCAGCGCGAAGCACCAAATTCTGCCAGCATCTTATGCCATTCTGGCATAGTCTCACTTGCCAGTTTCACCCGGACACTTGTAGGCTCCGTCCTCCTGGAATGGGTTGCATTCGCCATGTCAAGAATGGTGGGCTCCAGGTCACTCAGATGGTTCTTTTTGAATTCAGTGGGGAGCCCACGCTTGGGGCCTTTCTGCTTGGCGAAGCAGGCACTTGGTGATTTCTTGCCCCATTGGGCAGCTAGGCGTGGGCGGCTTCTCATAGGTTGGGATCAAAGGTTGGATCAGCAGATTTGATTAGTGTGCGGCTGAATGACACCCCCTTGGGCGATAGAGCTCAAGCTTGTTCACTTGGAACCCGTGATGTTTGCTGCCAGATTGCCTAAAGCACCTAAGAGCGCGGTCAGCGCGTTGATGAGCCTTCCGAGCCCGTCAGCTCCACAGGAAGCTGAGGGCAAAGGTGAGAGATTCAGTTTCTGATGCAAAAGGGATGTTGCGGGCTTCGCGCATATTGTGCGCCACTCAGGGGCTTGCGCAGGTATGTTGACAAGTCTCGTCGATTCCGAAAGTCGTCAATTCCTGAAGGGTTACGTTAAATGCGGGGTTGAACTGTGGGTCCCTCCCCAAGGTGAGGAGAGCCCCAGATCTGATCCTGCGGCAGAAGCTAAGGTCTGGACTTGGCGCAGCCTGGTTTTGAAATTATGGCCCTCCAAAGGGGGTGTTTTGAGAGTGGGGATCTTTTTGCATGGTGTGGGCAAAGAATCGCGTACAACAAGCATGTCATACGTAGAGCCCAAAGTCTTCCCCAGGTCCGTTTCTCTGGTCATGATCAACCGAACACAGTTCATTTGGAAGAGGCAAGGGCACACCCGACTCAGCAAGTGAGCTGGGCATCGAATTCCCTCTGGTTTTGTCCACGAAGTCACCTTCTCTCCTTGCATTTCTTTGTCTTCCTCTTGCAGGATTCGACTACAAGCCGTCCAAAAATCTCAACCCCCGTTCAAGAAGCAAGATATGATATGATACTGTGATGGACGAAAATCCTGCACAACCTAACAAACCCTGAGAATGATGATTCCCCTGTAAATATCAACGAACAGTGGTTCCCCATTGTTTCTTGGGTGGTGCGGGATTTTGTCCATCCACAGTATGAGTGACATGGTCGATATGGGCCGTTCAGGTCAGCCGCTTGATCCCTGCCAAGCCTCCGGAAGGACCAGCGCCGTCACCGCAGAGACGGAGGCTGCGGCGCGGCGCGCCGTGGGGGCGGTGCTGGAGGTGCGCCAGCAGCGGGCGGACGGTCGGCACAATGCCGCATGCCCCTCCGGGCGGGCTGTTACGGTGACGCTAAACAGAAAAGACATGATATACGTCTATGTATAATTTGTTTCGTGGTTGTTTGACGTAGCGTCATGAAACCCGTGCAAGCATGGTGGGCGGATGGAAACCGGCGATCCGTTGAGCGCATGTGAAGAAGGAATCAGCCGAAGGAAAGCCAACCCAGTGGCGGGCCAAGTAAATCAAAGGGCCATCAGCCAGACTTGCAAATGTGTTTGTCGCGTCACGATTTGACACTCGTAACACGGAGGCCACGCCCTACAGTAGGCTTCAATCGCACACTGCAATTTTCGGGCGATTAAGCTGTTGGTTGGACGCTGCGGCTAGCCACTGAACATGTTTTTTCCTTAGGCGCACAATTTTATTTTCGGGCAATTAAGCTGTTGGTTGGACTCTGCGCCTAGCCACTGGGCTGTTTTGCTTAGGGGTTGGTTGGGATGTGCTTTGGCGCATGCAAACTCGGCGCCGTTCGCGTTAGCGCTTGGCCAGGCATTGTTGTGGGTGGCTGCGCAGGAGAAGGCCGGGATGCTGCAGATCAGTCACTGCGCGTGCGCATTTCTGCAGGTAAGGACCACGTTAATGGGATCTGTATGCACGCAAGGATTGCAACCTTGTGGTTTGGACAGGCTGGCGCATGCTTGCGCGTTGTGGTTCCAAAGGCGAGCCCGGAAGGAGAACAAGAGGCTTTCCGTTTCAAGGCACCTGGTTTAACTCAATCACGGCCTAATGTGGCAGACGTGAAGCACGTCAAAGCGCCCGGGCGCGCAGACAAGGTCAATCAGTTGAACAGCCACAATTTGGCCACTGGCAAGCTGTACTGTCAGCTCACAAAGTGGCAAGAAATCTGAGAAGAGTGGAGAGATGGAAGTACGAAATTAATGTAAGTTGGCAATCGACACCTTTTGGAAGCGCACCCGATCTGTGTTTAGGGCTATTTAAGTTGCGTGTTTTTAAAACATGGCCAGGCTGGCGGGTTGGGGGGTGGGGGGCTTTTGGTGTCTGTATGTGAAGCAATCAGAGACCATTCGTATGGTGGCGTTCCTTTTGTTCTATTGAAGCACCATTCAAACTGAAGTCGCCGCACTGGTTTGACACATCCCAGTGGAGGGGTCGTAGCCCCATGTGTGTTTTTCTTATAAAAGGTTCAATTGGGGGGTTTGGCTTCAAAGCATGGGCACGTGCGCGCCCGAAAGTCAGCCCACTTCTCCAAAGGCACGGGCCTTTGTGGTGAACCGCCCGCCGGGCCACCACAACAGCTGCGACGAGAAGCTGGAGGCCATGTCGCCTTGCCAAGTGCATACTCTCAGGGATTCTTTAAGGCAGGACATAGTTTTGGGGAAACCGGCCATTTACCAAACCCAAGTCGTGGCAACAGCTACCACCCCAAACAGAGTTTTTTCTGGCCTGATTGTTAGAGTCCCCCCTCTTTCCTCAAAAGCTCAAATCTCAGATTACACGGGTTCCGGGGGAGCAGGTGTTTTTTGTTTGTTTGTGGGAGAAGGCGGTTGTGGGCAAAAAAGCCACCCGTTCGGTGTTCCCACTGCCCGGGCGAGGCTGTGCAGCGCAACGCGTGGCGCTTCGGGGCCCACGGCGGCTGCATCTTCAATGAGCCGACGCCTTGGACCTGGACGTTGGCAAAGGCAACGCCCTTGAAGGCTTTGGGTTTCACGTGTGGGGTGGGCTGCAAGGTGTTCATGCCTCATGGGCATTGCTTCATGGGGTTTAGCATGGTTGAGCCAAAACTGGCGTTTTCCAATCCGCCGGGCCCACTCCTACTGGATTCAAAAGCCCGTTGGGCCCCTTGCGTCACTTTGCTGGAAAGCGGAAGATGCTGCTTGAATGCCTGCAAAGTCAGAATCTTTGTGTATGTGTGTTTGTGTTTTTTTCGGGTACTTATTTTGCGACTGCAGTCTCAAACTCCCTTGGCAGGGATTTTCCTCAAGGGACCACATATGGCAATGGATCAAATCCCGTACCCCCAGTGAACATCCCAATCCCCACTAAAACAGACTAAAATGGGTGGTGCACCTGCCCCAAAATGGTACCATTGGTTTTGACACACACCTATATTAAACTCCCATGTCATTGAGGACGGCCGTTGCCATCCGCAACCTCCAGCAGCAACGCACTTGCAAGGCCCATGGGATGGAGAAGAGGGGATGCGCAGCATTTTGTATTGTGTGAATGGTCCCTCACATGTTCACTCGGAGCCCACGGAGCTTTGCCCCTTGTTTAAGAGGACTCACATGTACTCACTAGGGTTCAGGTTTCGAGTTCGCACACTCTTTCAGCAAAGGATCCGTTGACAAAAGTAAGAATGAAGGCTGCAGGGTGTTCTGCAAGCATCCATGTATTGCGGATTCACGATTGCTGCCAGCAGTGTGTGCCATGAACAACTAATAGACGACAATTATCATTTATTGGTGGTGAGTGTTCGGTTGTCAGCCGGCATGCAGTCCATGCTTTGTAACATCTTGTAGCGAGGCCGAGCATAGCACGTACGGACTGCTTGAGAAGCAAGTTTGCGCTCGGTCATGTTCGAACTTGCTTGGTTGCTTGCTTCCGGGTTTTCAGCTAAGCTGATTGCGACTAGACTGGTTGGAAGCCGCCAGTTGCCCAGGTAGAACAAGCTGATGACACAGACTGTGCGCTCAGTCTCTTGACCTGTGCCATGGAAGGCCAGGGCGGGGAGGACTTGTTCGTGCCTGCTGCCACCAGCGGAGCGCTGGCGGGCGTCCTGGAATCGCACAACGTCCTGGCTCAGAGGCTGCTGGATCTCCAGCAGTCCGTAGACGCCTTGAAGAAGAACCACGAGGAGGCGCAGAGCGCGGCGGCGGAGTGCCGGACCAAAGACGAAGAGCGCCAAGTGGCAGAGGCCCAGCGGGCGGAGGAGGTCCAGCAGAAGCTGCAGCAGCTCGTAGCTCTCCAGGAGCAGCAGGAAGAGCACGGCAAGGGACAAGCAAAGCTGGAGGAGAAGTTGGCGGGACTGGAGGACTCGACCGCCTCGAACGTCAAAGCCATCCAACACTCTGTAGATGAGATCAGCAACCACCAGGCAGAGCTGAAGAGCCGGGTTTTGCCACAGTGGGAAGCCGAGCTGTCAGTGCAGATCAAGAAGATCAGCCAAGAGGTGACAAGCTTTCAGCAAGGCATAGATGAGCGCATGGCTCAACTCGAGGAAGGCCTCAAGAAGCAGCGAGAAGAGTTGCTGGAGGAGTGCGGGGCCATAGAGCCACGGCTCACACCGCTGATGGACGCAGCAAAGGAGCGACTCGACGCAGCGGAGGAAAGCCTGAAGCGCTTGGCGGCCGACTTGTCGGAGTTGTCTAGCAAGAGTGACAAGAGCCACAGCGACCTTGAAGCAGAGCTCAAAGCATCTGCAGAAGCTGCGGAGAACTTTGCCAAGACGCAGGACGAAACAGTGATGGCTGAGTTTACTGAGACCTTCAGCGGTCGCCTCATGAATTTAGAAGGAGCCTTGAGGCAGTCAGAATATGAACGCTTGAGCTTTTCTGACCGCACCAACAAGGAACTAGCAGCGTTGTCCCAGCAGCTCACCAGCCTGGATACAAAAGCCGAGAGCCTGGTAGCGGACTCTGCAGGCAGCCTGCTGGAAGCCCTCGAGTCGAGGAACAAAGACCAGCAGCTGAAGCTGGAAGAGGCGGCGACTTCTCTACAGCTCGGGGTGGACGCCTGCCAGGCGCACTTTGCAGAGCTGGCCACCAGCTCGGAGAGCCAGGGAGTCGAGTCGCAGCGCGCCCAAGCCGAGCTGCAAAGGAAGACGGAGCAGGAGGTCCAAGGCGTGCAGGACGCAGTCCAGACCATCAAGGCTGATGTGGAAAGGAGCGTGCAAGGGATCCGTGCTGAGGAGGGTGAGCGCCTGCGTGGCCTAGAGCAGGAGCTGCGGGAGGAATTTCGGCAACGGCAGGAGCTGGCCAAGAGATTGGAGCGGGAGCAGCAGGACCGCCAGGCGGAGCTGGAAATCTGCACACGGGCCGCGGAGAAACGCGCGGCGGACGTGGAGCTGGTGGCGAACGCCCGCTTCGAGGCCGTGCGCTCAGCGCTCGACGACCTGGTGGTGGAGTTCCAGGGCTTCGTGAAGGCTGACAGCGCCCGGTCCATGGACGTCACGCGCCTGGAAGCCCTCGTCCGAGCGCTGGAGGTCAGGGTTTGGCCCTGGCGCAACGGCTCCAAGGAGCGCAGCCCATCGCCCTCTTCGCCACGGAACGGATGGGAAGCCACAAAGATTCAAAATTCGCCAGACTGGCAAGATTGGTTGAAGATCAAGAAGCCCTCTACCTCCCGGCCTTCCACCGCCCGTCGCCGTCAAGAGGAGAGCATTGCCTTCGAGATGACCGGATCTCCCGTTGGCCCCGTTGGCCCGGGCATGGTTGCAGCACGGCTTCGGACGGCTCAGGCTGCACCTATGTGAATCGAGCTGGCTCCCGGACCAGGTGTGCAGTTCGAGAAAGCGTTCGGTCCAGTGTGCCTGTGAAACAGTCATGGCATCGAAGTTCGCGAACACTTTTGCTCTTTCACCCCGTTCGATTAGCGCTTGTGGCAAGAAGACCTTCGCCAAACAAGCTTGCGCCCTGCCAATTAAGAGCGCTCTTGTCCAAACGCTGGCAAGGCAGCTTTGCGGATCCAAGACAAAGCGGATATGTGTTCCTACATGTGGTTGGCCTGATTCGACGCAAGAATCCACATCGGCATGACTTGTGTTGGCGCTTTGCGATTGTTTAGTGAGGACATGAGTAAAGTAACACAACTTCCAAGTGTCATGTGTACAGCGCACATCCGCAACCCGTGTTCGGACGGAAATTCTGACATGCGGCATGCCAAGTCAACCATGGCTTTCTGAACACGCCAGGTTGCCGTTTTGGATGTGGACGCCCATTTCGGGGCATGGGGGCTCGTGGGAGGGCCTGTGCGTTTTTTTTTTTTTTTTTTTTTTGAGTTTGCATGTATGTGCTCAACCCTGAGGCTTCCCTGTTCAATTTCTAGTTTGCTTTCTTGATTTGCTTTCTTGAGGTTGAGCGGTTGACCAATGGTGGCATACAAGCATTTTCTAGTGCCCATACATAGCAGCTCAACGCAAAGGACGGAATCCCCAAAGGCGAAACCGAGTTTTCGCAATCAGTTTATATTCTAGCCCTTTGCGCGGCACCGCCCGGAAATGGCCTTATCAAAACGCCGACAAAGTTTGACTTGTTTGTCCCAGCCGCTGAGGATGGTACTGCGTGGCATTTTTACGAGGACCAAGGGTGTTGCGGGGTCCTGGCAGGTCCCGTGCCAGCCAGCGACCGCATGGCGTGCAACATTCGCTTGGATTGTTCCCGGGAGCATGGCAGGGGCAGGGGTCAATCCCCCTGCGTTTCAGCGTATCTTTCCTGCAACTGGCAAATTGGAAGCCAACGACTTCCTGTGTGTTGCCCTGGTGCTTCACAGTTGTGAGGGGGGTCAGGGGCAGCTTCCTGCACTGCAGCTGCTCAAGGGGCCTCAAGGGGTGAGAAGGCTTCTTGAGCAGAGGGAAGCCCTCGCTTGCTAAATGTTGACTCTCAAGTTGCCGAACCATCACCCAAATACAAACCATGAGGCAGGCTAACACGAATCATGCAGTCTTGCGTTGCGCAGTCAATCGCCAAACAGACTCCAAAACGCATAGGTACTGCAGCACCTCGCTATCCAAACACCCGCGCTTTGGGGAAGCGCGCCTGATTCGGCGGCCTGGGGATTTCACTGCTGGGGTGGGGGTAGCCATGGCCTTGGTGTTGCAGGGGAGCACGCCAGGCACGGCCAAAGGGTTTGGAAAAGGTATTGATGGTGTTGGATGCAGATCTGCTCAAAGCAGATTCGGACATGGCAGTGTGTCTCTTCATAGTTGAGGGGCTGTTTGGCAACAGTGTTATGAACGGGGAATATGACATGTTTACGTGCAGATAACATATCCAGAAACTGGCACAGGTCACATGTGGTTTCTGTCTCATGACATGTTATGTCCTTCTCAGAGTGCTCTTCTCCCCCAAGAGGAGAACATTAACTTACATAATTGCCCCATGGAGTCAAAACCGTTTGGCATCGTCACGGAGCGTCCCTTACGTCCACCAAACTTTGAGAGCCGCGCGACAGGGCTCCGTTTGGCTACGTTGGACAGACCTCGCTGCAGCGCAGCAACGAGGCGATGCGAGACTTGCTGGCGGGAGGTATCGAATCGTTTTTGGTAGTTTTACCTAGTCCCATGTTTCCCGGACCTTTTGATCAACCTCCCTAATGTGTTTATATATACCCTCCCTTCGGCAGAGCTTTGGGTGGTTAGCTTGTTGCCATCAATTTTTGATAGGTTCCACCCGGCGAATCCTTTGACATCCGTATCTCCATGATCTGAATATGTAAAAACATGCATTGTTTTCACGAAAGCTGGACGAGTTCTCTAAGCTTCAGCTTTTTTTGGGGCTGAAATTCCCACAATGCCTGATACAATCAAGGATCTCCACATGTTTGCAGCTGGGGAATCTGTCTCATTAGGAGTTAGGACCTGGTCCAAGTTGGGCCTTAATGTACTTTCTTGATGTTCACTTAGGATTGGTATTCTTACCATTTTGGCAACCCGGGGTCGTACATTTCGTTGTCCAGCTGGCTGGCTTTCGTTCAGCCGCCTCGGCAAGTTTTCGCCAGGCAGAGAAGTCATTACTTTCAGACGGATGAGCTGTTGAGGCTGGTGCAGGGCACACGCAGGGATGTGTGGTGTGACCGTGTCCTGAATTAGTCAGGGAGAGAGATAAATGAATGAATCAATAAATATATAATTAAATACTCTATATATGCATGCTGCCCCCCAGGGCCTACTTATCCACTTGCAAACTATACAAATCCTCTTACTTACAGGGAGCATATACACGCAAGAGTTGTGCTGTTGTTATATAGGAAGGTAGGCCCTGGGAGGGGGGGTGACCACATATATATATATATATATATAGATATATATATATATATATGGTCCCGTCCTCCGCCCTCCTACCCCTCCCATGGTATCCCCCCCACAGGGCAGCGCCAGCCTGTTCACCTCAGCGGAACAAGGCTCCTGCGGTCTTCTGCCGCAGCCTGCGGTGCCATCTTCGTGGCAGCAGCAGGTCAAAATGCTGCCCTGTACGCAGCAAACGGACGGGCCCCTTCCCGTGGCTCTTCTCGGCCGACCTCAGCTTTGGCTCGCCGTTGTCCAGACTACAGACACGCCATGCGCGGTTCCAAACGCTTGCGCGTGCGCCCAAGTGCCGTAGGTGTGCGGCTTGGACGGACATGTACTCAAACTAGGCGTCCCGCAAGAAGTGTCCCTGATGCTCTTCCTGCCACAGCGGGTCCTCTTCCATCTCTAGCAGCACCTGCTCCTTCAGGACGTCCTTGCCAGCTGGCCGACTGCGCTCGTCGCCGAGGACGAGGCTTGGCTAGATCACGACAACTGCTCACCCTGCACTCCTGCTCCCACGTACGGAGTGCCCTGCCCTGCCTGGCTCTGAAGTGTGCGGGCGTGACTTGCAATCCTCCTGCAGGGGCTGTTGGGCCCTGAAAGCAAACAGGCTCAGAAAAAGTAGTGGGCACGGGAGCGACAAGCCAACAACCCCAATCTTCAACACCCGTCTCCTTGACACAGGGAGCCGCGCAGCAACAGTCAAGGACTCAACTCCAACACCAACGTTCCCAAGCCACACAGCGGGGGGAAGGGGGATGGGGGCGAGGGGGGGGGAGGGGGGGCGGTTGAGGGGCTGGACAATATATACATATATATATATATACATATATCATTACAGGTGGGTGAAGCGTTTGTCCAACGGCAATTTGCATGAGGGCATGCGAATGTCCGATTCCCATGCTCAAAGCCGACTTGACCTTTTTGTCCTCCCAGTGTAGATATGTGTTAGCCAAGGTCCCAAAAAGTCAGCGTGGGTTCCATGCCATTGAAGCAAGCTCCGCATTTTCAGGATGCGTGCTAAGGAGCAGTAAGTCGGAAGGATACACGTGTGATTGTTGGCGTACGTTGCAGGAATAGTGCTAGATGCAGCCGCTGCCTTGCCGTGTGCCCAGCCCTCAGTTGATCAATTGTTCAGAACCGCCCTGCTTGATCGCTCTGGATTGTGTAGTCATGTTCAAAACAGTACGTGCGGTGCTCAAGTTTCTTCAGTGAAGTGGATTCTTTGATCAGCGCCCACCGAGTCTTCGCGGGTGATTGTTCTCTGCTGACCAGCCCCCAACATTTTCCGGGTTATTGCCCGGCATAGCCTCACATAGCTGCTTGCCTGTTGCAGTCGCACACCCACCTGTTGTGACAAGAGGTTTTTGACTGCATATTCGCTCAGCCCATTTGGCCAGTCTTCTAGCCCCCGCCGCATGTTCTGTGTAGTTCTCCCTTGGTCAGGGAGTAACTCAACTAAGGTCGCCTTTTGCGCATGCTCAGTAGGACGCCCAAGTGCCTTGAAGCAGCTTCCTGAGCAGTTTTGGCTGCTTTTCATTAGTGAGCAATGGTTCACAAACGAAACAGCACGAAAACAGGAGATGCCTGTGCAAAACAAATTGGCAACTCAGCCTGCTTGTGTGCTTGGTTGGTTTTGTCGCTGAGCTGATGTGAAACGAGGGTCTCGTACTTTTAAAAGCGCCAAAGTGACCCGGCTAACTCGTATTCGAGTTACGCGTCACATTTTGACGGGGTTGTGATGTCAGTCACAGCTTTCAGTCATGGGTCCTTGTTGTCCTTCTGCAAATTCGGGCGCTTGGGCCCGCCAAAGGCCTTCAGCCATGCAGCCTTGACTTGTTTCTTTCTTGAACCTTGCTTAGGCGGGGCTGTCCTGCTGCAAGCGCGGCCAAGGCGGAAGCATGTGCTGCTTGGCCTGCATTTCTCTTTGGCCATTTGGACCTTTACCATTTGCATTGGCATGTGGGCAACCCAAGATGCGATGGCTACGGAACACTTGCCACACGCATGGCCTGAGACTAGATCGAAGTAGCGTATGACTCCTATGACTGAATATGGTTTTTTGAGCCGTTTTGCTTTGATGCTTGGGTTATTGTCCACAACCTGGCATCCGAGCAATCCAAGTTGATTGATTTGCCCACCCGGCTTGTTCAACCATTTCAACCCGTTGCAGCAAAGCATGTTGACAGCGAGCCCAGCACGATCGGAGCTGCGTCCTACCCCTTTACATCATTGCGTCGCCGTGTGGGCCATATCGTTTGGTTACAACGCGTTGGCACCAGGTCAACAGTCAGCACGTGTGCAAGCCACTACAGAGCAAAGATCTAGAGTCAAAGCGAATGCGCAAACTCCAGCAGGACTGTACGAAAGCCCTCGCACGCAGCAGCTATGACAAAATAAAAAGCACTTGGACCCCCCCCCGCCCCCAGCCAGCGTTGCTGGCTGCCGTACTGACACCGAGGAAAGCCCACCCCAACTAGGTACAAGTGGAGTTGGGAAGGCATTCGAGACACCAAAGTGCAAAGTGCCCAAATCGACTCGAGTTTGTTGTGTTTGGCAAACGTTCCACCCAAAAGCCGTGGAGGTGGAAAGTGGAAATTAGTCGCCCAGGCAAATGTACCAGGCTTCGCCGGCGAAGCTCGTGGATTTGCCGCCCAGCTGAATACAGAGCGGTTTGCCCGGCACATCCCATTTCAGTAGCGATCTTTTTTAAACGCAGGAGACAAAAGGAGAGGGGAACTGGCATGGTGGCCACCGGCCTCGCGTAGCTTCCGAATAGCCAGTGTCTACCAAGCAGGTTTGCAACTCATGGTCTCGCGTCCTGAGCGCTTTCTATGACTGGTAGTAATTTTGCACATCCAGAGTTTGTTTGTACGCTGTGGGGTAGACAATGCTTTGCCACCTTTTTGACCTTCAGATGGACCCAGGACAGAACAATTGACTCTGAGTTTCACGCGCAGAAATCTCACTACCTTCCCAATAAATTGGGTTCAACACTCCAGGGACTCTAAGGACGTTGTGCTTAGGGGTAGCATTTGGACATATATAACAGCAGTATGCTGATGCTTCTGTGTGGGCAGCTGAAAGGCAATGATATTTTGTTGGATTGCTCCACCCCCTTCATTTTGAACGTCGGGATGTCGTGACTCGGGCCAGGGAAGGGTTTACTACTACATCTGTGCCGAAGAAGAAGTCGAGCACTGAAATTCAGAAGGAGGATCGTTTTACACTTAGAAAGCAGGCGGGAGGGGAGGGGTGAAGTTTGCGCTGCTTTGCACGGCTGATTGCGTGGCAGAGATTGTGTAGCACAGGCATAGCACTTGGAAGCACTTGGTACAAAAAACTAGACCACGGTTGGCCCGAAAGCATCACAGCCCCGTGACCATTCTGCGCAAGTTGCTCTGGGCAAGGTGCTTTGCGCAAACTGGTCTGTGCAAGTTGCTCTGAGCAAGTTGCTCTGCGCAAGGTGCTCTGTGCAAGTTGCTCTGCGCGAGTTGCAATAAGCCGACGCTGTACAACCCAACCTTTGGCCGAATGGAAGGCGTGCATGACCTCTGTGGCATCGCGACCGTCTTAGTGGTCGATCCTTGGTTGGGCCAATTGAACAGGGCACCCAGATTCAATCGAAGGGCGGTCTTCCAGTGAGCCTGGTTCCAAACAAGCACCCCACCCCGAATGATCCTTGCCGCAGAGCGTCGCGCGAGCACCGCAGAAATCGTAAAAAAAACCTCAATTTTTCACACCTCGACCACGCCGATCCCCGCAGATGGTTGCGTGAGCACCGCAGAAATCGTAAAAAAAGCCTCGAGTTTTTGCACCTCGACCACGCCGATCCCCGCAGAGGGTCGCGCGAGCACCGCAGAAATCGTAAAAATCCTCGAGTTTTTGACCGCGCCGATCCCCGCAAAAATCCTCGAGTTTTTGCACCTCGATCACGCCGATCCCCGCAGAGGGTCGCGCGAGCCAAATCAAAATCGCCAAAAACCTCGAGTTTTTGCACCTCGACCACGCCGATCCCCGCAGAGGGTCGCGCGAGCCAAAACAAAATCGCAAAAAACCTCAAGTTCTTGCACCTCGACCACGCCAATCCCTGCAGAGGGTCGATTTTCGTTCAGTGTCGTCGGCACTACCCCGCCGCCCTAAGAAGAGATTTTATTTCCTCGCAAGTCAATTGCACTTGACTCCTTGCACTTGCAACTTGCACTTGACTCCTTGCGCTTGCAACTTGCACTTGGCTCCATTCCATGCACTTGCAACTTGCACTTGACTCCATGCACTTGCAACTTGCACTTGGCTCCATGCACCTGGCTCCTTGCAACTTGCAATGACTCTCATGACTCCTTGCAATGACTCCTTGCAATGACTTTCATGATGATGATTCCTTGCAATGACACGTTGCAATGACTTTCATGATGACGATTCTTTGCAATGACTCCTTGCAATGACTCACATGAGAACAACTCAAGTGAACCCAGCGGAAGAACCCTTCGCCATGCGTTCGGGAAAGACATTTCAAAGGCCAATAACACATGGACAAGTATTTGCTGCCTTGAATATTGCAGAGTTCTAACATGTTCTAATGTAGGATATGTTTTGGCTGCCTGCAGCATTGACAAGGAGTTGCAACTGCTATTGCCCTCAGGCCCTCAGATGTCCACTGGGCCATGCAACATGTTGTGGAGCAAGGAGTTGTCGCAAGCGGAATCCTTTTGTTGGCATAGGACCTGACCCGATGCCGGGGCAGATGTTTGAAATGGACCGGCTGTTGTCTTCCAAGACCTGTTTGTCAGAGAGCTCGCAATAGGAAGCCCTCCATGATTAGCGTTCAGGACTTGGCGTGAATGGCATTGTGAGTCGCAGCCGCAGCAGGGGGGAGAGCAAGCAGAAGGGTGCAAGTCAAAACAAAAGTTGACACAAACAGATCCCCACAGGATTGCACAGCACGCATGCCACAGAAGCAGCGATTGTTGCCTTGCCAATACTTAGATTGAAGAGCACACAGTTATTTGCAAAGCCGTTGCACGGGGCGGGTGGGAAATGGAGAGCCCGCACTGTGACATGTACCGGCCTTGCCGCTAGTAGTGCCGCAATTTGATGGGTTCAAATTAAACAAGTGATGCGTCAACTTTAGGGCCATGTCAATCCAGATTGTGTTGCGGGATTCGGAAGGTGCTTTGGCACCATTCCCAAAGTGGGCAGGGAGAGATCATAGCAACATGTTACAATGCCATGGATGGCGCATACACAGCAAAGGCACCGGCAAACACGCGCGCCCACACACTTATCTCGAGAGGCTTCACTAGCCGAGATGAAAAGGTTGGAAAAACCTGCAACTGCTGAAATTGCTTGACAGATCACACTGCAGAACAGAAACCGGGAAGCAACAGCGAACAGGACAGAAAAACAGTCAGGAAAAAGAAGGAAAGGCAGGTACGTCCAGCTGGCCAAGCTGGATATCCCACTTCACTGGTAGCTTCGTTGGACACAGTCCCAGTGAAGTGCTGTGTCCCCCTGCTCAGGTTTAACGTCCGTGTTCCAGGACGGTTCACACACACAAAGCCCCGGTGGGGCGGACACGAACCACACAGAGGGAATTCCACCAGGGGACCTCCAAAAACCCCCGGCAACAGCAAAAAAAAATCCAAGGACGAAAAACCCGAGCACACAAAAACCACACAGAGGGAATTCCACCAGGGGACCGCCAAAAACCCCGTGGCAACAGCAAAAGATTTTCAAAGACGAACAACGAAAAAACGAAAAAAAAAAAAAAAAACCCAAGCACGCAAAACCAAACCGAGGGAATTCCACCAGGGGACCGACAAAAAACCCCGCGGCAACGGAAAAAGGTTTCGCAAGAAACGAAAATGGCAGTCAAGGCGTGAACGTGAATTGAACTGATCTGAGTCGGCGCAGAGCGTGAACCAATGAACGGCAAAGTCGGTGTCTGACCGGCTTGTCACTCGCGCATGAAGCTGCCGAATCCTGATACCTCATGAGAGCTGCCTTGTTCAAAACGCAGGCAGTGCAATGCGAATGAAGCTGCCGGAGCCTGATACCTCGTGAGTGCTGCCTTGTTCAAAAGGCAGGCAGTGCAATGCGAGGTTGAACTGAACGTGAACTTTTGAACGTCATCCCCTTGCAGGGGGCTCCCGCATATGGCGAGTCCAGCCCACAGCGCCATGTCGGACAGGCCGTGGGTAAACACACTTATCTCGAGAGGCTTCACTAGCCGAGATGAAAAGGTTGGAAAAACCTGCAACTGCTGAAATTGCTTGACAGATCACACTGCAGAACAGAAACCGGGAAGCAACAGCGAACAGGACAGAAAAACAGTCAGGAAAAAGAAGGAAAGGCAGGTACGTCCAGCTGGCCAAGCTGGATATCCCACTTCACTGGTAGCTTCGTTGGACACAGTCCCAGTGAAGTGCTGTGTCCCCCTGCTCAGGTTTAACGTCCGTGTTCCAGGACGGTTCACACACACACCCTTTCTACGCACACAAACATGAGCAGACACGCAAGCACAACAACACAAATATCAAAGCGCGCAGTCAGACAGACACACACGCACACAGCACACATACACACACACACACCAAAAAAACATGCATATGCTCATACACACACAAACCCCCCACACACATTGACATACGCATAATTACGCCGGCACACTTCTACCCACCCACCCGCACATACAGACACACACACACACGGGCTGATGCATTGCGCGTCAAAACCAATGCTATTGTGTTTTGTTTACTATATGCGTTCCAAACTTTGCACTTCCGTGCACCCACTTATCACTCGCTCAACCGTTCAGCTCCAATGGCTTCAGGAAAAGATTCTGCACGAGCAACAAGAGATAGCCGTGCAGAACATCCTCGACATTTTTTCAAAAGGAGACGAGAAGGACTGGCAAGAGCGGGCAACGGTACAAAATAGGGCATCGTGCTAAAAGCACTACGTGTTCGATTCAGATCCAAGTTTTCTAGCCAGCATGACATTTGCATCCCAGTGTGTTGGAAGGAATTTGCACCCCAGTGTGTTGGAAGGAAGGGCCAGGGTTGGTGATATGAATGCGCGTGTATGACTTGTAAAATTGGGCCAAGGGCCAACACAAAAAACAGAGCACACATGCTAAAAAGCGCGGAAGACAAGTGTATGCTTAGGAACCGCTTAACGACCTTTCATTTTGGGGTCTCTTTGAGAGGGGATTTGGCTTCATCTAGCTTCCAGGAGGTTTTCGAGAGACTTTTGAAGCTTGGAAGTTTGGAGAAGCTTCCTTTGCAAAGCAAAGGCGCTGTTAGCTTCTGAAAATGATGTGCGAAAGAAGTATTGCCCAAACAATTCTACTTGTGGCCTCTAAGATCCTCTAAGTCTTTTAGATTTGTTTAGATGTTTTCAGATTCTCAAGAGTTTCTAGAAGTGTACTTTAGAGGCCAAGTGTTGGAATGCAAGGGGGGCCCGAGCAAAGAAGGTATCAAACAAAGCGGGTACTAGCTGGGTCCTTGTAGAGGCAGGCATAGTATCGGCCATCGCGAGCCATGACGAGATTGTCCATGACCTCAGCGGATCCAGTTGTCTACCCTTTGCTCCCTGAGCTGCCCAGCTTCCATGAACAAAAGTAACCCCTTCAGATGCCTGCAAGAATGCGTGCGCAGTCAGTTCTTGTTTACTTCAGCGGTCGCAAGAACATGAACGGGTTGCCCCTGGAGGAAGTAGACAGCTTCAGTTCTGTTGCCTTCTCGCCAGTTTCTCGCTATTTTCCTGCTGGTTTGCAGCTGTTCTTCTCTGGTTGGGGACTGGCAATCTTGGTGACTTCCATAGGAGACCACCGCGGTGACTCTGCGCGGAGTGCCTGGCTCTGGAAAGACCTGGGTGGCTGCAAACGCCCCTTTGGCCGCGGGCAAGTTGCACGAATGGATCTTTGATTCGAAGGTTTGAAAGAAGATGTGTGGCCGCTCCGTTGGCCAGCAAAAAGAGTTTGAAAGCGGGTCTTGCCATTCAAAAACTCAAATTCCGGTGGCATTTGTCTTACCACAAGCTCCAAGGGAACCAATGCGCTAGACGGCGTGCAGTGCTGCGCGTGTAATTTATTCTCAATAGGCTTGTACTGGAAGCGCATAAAACACAAAAGGTAGCCTCAAGGATGCTAGCTTGGGATTGTCCTGGCGCTCGCAAGGCTAGAGGGTCGGTCCGGCCGCAAAACCAATGAAATGTCGCCCCCCCCTTCCCTCTTCGACTCCTCCCTGGTCCGCCCCCCCGCCTGATTGGCAGCTTCGCTCGCCGCTCTTTTCGCTCGCTCGCTTCGCTTCACACTTCGGTCCGCTTTTCGCACCATTTTCCTCATCTTGTGTTTCAAGGCCGGCCCACTTTGCGACACATTAGGGGGACCACTTCGCTGTATGCTAGCTTTCGTGTCTGCCCTTCTCAAGTTGTGTGGGCAGGCGCATGCGTAGTCGGAAGATGTCGGAAATAGGTACCGGAGCGTGGGGGCAGTGTTCAAACAAGAACTTATATACAACCATTTGGGCATAGCTAGTGGATCGCTCCAACAAGCAGAAGCCAAGGCGCATATTCAAGTCGTGCATATCTCTATAATATATCTATGTAAAGTTATTCTATATGTCTCCCAACTGAGTAACTTTCATGCTGTTGAGCCGCAGGGATTGAATGGTTGTGAAGTCGAATGTCTCCAGTTGCTGCGTGCGTGCACCAGGGACCCAGAGGTGAGCCATAGATCCACAGAACCACAGCGTGCCGGGGCAACCGGCAAGAAGAGGCATGCCCTGGGAGCATTTGGTAGCATTGGGCAGTTTGTTAGAAGAGCTCCTTCTGCACCACTTTGGATGCTAGGGCCATGAGTTGCGTTTGCATGTGTCCGGCAGATCCACCGTCCTCAAGCTTTCCGGCACTATGTGTCACCAGCGTGCGGTTAGAAGAAATGGCAAGGTCATCTCGCGCTGGAAGCCCAAAGCTGTCTTGTTGATGCAGCCGCTGAAGGCTGGACATCATCTTGACACGATGGTGGCGTCGCATTTTCTTCAAACCCTGACTTCACTCTCACACCTGGCAGTCTAGAGCACTTTTAAGCACTTGAACCAACAGGGACTAGTTTGTGCACGATGTGTGTGTGTGTGTGTTTGAGCTGCGGTCGTCGCACGGGCCCCACGAATCTTTTGGCTTTGTAGCGGGATATGTTCTGTTTAACTCGACGTTGCGGACCCCGGCTCATCAAGATTGAGGCTAGCATCAGCCTCCCCAAGCCGGAAACTCCAGAGAGCCATATAAGCATACCATGGCTGAGGATCTTGGTGCGAATTGCTGGGCCACTTCTAGTCTTGGCAATTTCAACTACCTTTACACAATGCAAACATTTCAGAGAGTTTTACAGAACGTTTAGTCAAGTAGATTTCAGCCCACTTAACTGCAGAGCAGAGCATGTCAGGCACTCGTGCGCCAGAGCCCGGGCAGCAGTTTCATTGGGTGCCAGCAGTGCAGCAGTTCCACTTGCTCTGTCTTGTTTTGGCTTGGTCTGCTTGCTGTATTGCTAGCTGCTTGGTTCGCGTGATAAATAAGGCTTGTTCTTGCATCGGCGGCAGGGTAGTCACGTGTTGGTTACTGGCTTTGTGTTGGCAGGGCTCAAGAAATCTCATTTCGCCCCAAGAGTGCAAGCCAGCAGTGCCAGCCAAGGATTGAAGGAGTGCTGGATGCAGATTTCCCCAATGAGGAAGTTTGTAACTTCATCTCGCAGAGACGACACTTGCTTTCATGAGCGATTGCGAGTGCACGCTGCATGCCAGGTGGTACAGGTGTGCACCATGATACTTAGTTACATGCTGTGCGTGCCTTGCAACCACCTTCAATTGAAGCATCGGTTTGTTTTAGGACTGTAGCGTTTGAGTCTTAAGTCTATGATGCCAACAGGACAGTTTACTTATCATTCCTTGCTCTTGAACCCGGTAAGCACAAAACATTCATAGCCCGCAAAGTGATGGATGTACTGACATACTTGTATAGACTTTTGGTATGCAGGGTACAGATGAAGCTTCTCACTGCACTACAGGTGCGGCCAAAAGTTTCATAGCCTCAGGATTCTGAAGTCCTGCGCCATGGTCTTGCTGTCGAATGCAGTTGCAGACTCAGGCAGTAGTCAATTCAGCAACGTGCTCACACTTGCTAACACGCACGCTGGAGCACACGCACGCATACACCAATCAAGCGCGCGTGTGCGCGGAACAAAGACCATAGCCAAGCGCACCCCATCTCTCGCCACGCCGCAACATACCAAGCCATACCACACCGCACCTCGGAGTCTCCACCGGCACTGTTGCTGGCCAGTGATTGCCTTGCTTGGCTTATCATTGTCGATTGCTTTCGGTGGCCATCTATCATGAATACGTGCAATGTTCAGG